GGCACTTGAATGTCACTGTGTGTAGCAAGGAAGTGGCCATTTTGCCTAGCTGTAATACATGCAGAGCTGTGTAGTAGTTTGTCAGTGGGACTGGCGCGCTTACCGCAGTCCTGTGCGCATATGGATTTGTGTGTTTTGGGCATACCCTTATGATATATGGCTCTGTTGATGTAACAATTTTTGCAGATGTCCATCAGCGGGCGAAGCGCCATGTTCAGCAGACAGGTCAGCGACCTGGCCTCGGCGCTGCCCGACGAGCGGCCCGTCACGGCCGTTTGCGTAGTCGAGTCGATATCCGGCTGTCCGCCCGGCTTCACCGCTGTGAGTGGCTCCGCAGACTCCGCGCGTTCGGGCTCTTGTGGCTGTCCTGGCGACGGACAGTGGTCAGTGACGGTGATGTGTGTTGAACGAGCGTGCCGATCGTTGTTTGGTTTATGTATGTATGTATGGTTTAGCTTGTGTGGTTTAGCATTATGGTTTAGCTTGTGCACTCGTGCCGTGGTCGGCGTATGACGCCACGTGGTTTAGCAAACGTTGTACTTGACACTGTGGGGCTTAGCCGATGTTGTACTTGACACTGAGGATTTTAGCAGATGTCGTACTTGACACTGTGGGGCTTAGCAGATGTTGTACTTGACACTGAGGAGCTTAGCAGTGCTTGACTCATCTGTCAGCTAGACTGATGGGAGCAAAGACGGTAGTGGGAAAGTCGCCCTTGGGTCCAAACTTCGTTGTAAATATCATGCCTTATGTTGAAATAACTTGTACTTCAATTTGAGTGCATGTTCCAGTCGCTATGCTTTTCTGGTATGCCACTTGTGAATAGTCACCTGTGAAGAGACATCCATGAATGAGTGCATTCTGCGTCTGCCATCGTGGTGTAGGAACAGTATACGTGGCATTGCACGCGAGCGAGAGAGGCGTTCAGACACTTCCGTTCAGTGACGGCGTCCACCCCGAAGGTCGCTAGGACGTATGATCTGGACACGGACGCCGACCTCTGGAAGGACGGCTTCTGGCGTCGGGAGACGCGCTACCTGTGCCTCTCCAAGCTGGAGAACGCCGGTGTGGCGGGCCACGTGGTCGAGGATGTGGCGGTGATCGGCGAGCGGGACATGCCGCCAGAGAGTCACACCTTCCTGCCGCACACCACCGACACCGGTGCGGGCCGCGCGCGCTCTCGCAGCAGGGGCTCAGTGGCGCGTTTGTCTGCGGCAGGATCGGGTGGTTTGTCTCGCCGCTGGGCTAGGTTTCCTCATGATGTCTTGTCGTGAGTTTGGAATCGGTGGTTTGTCGGCTCTCGCTCCGTAGTGTGTGGTTTTGTTGTGTCCGGGACCTATTCGTGGCCACAGTTTATTTTGACGCGCTAAAGGTGGTTTTTCGCTGTCGTTTCATATCATGTCCCTGCTTTGTGCCTCGAGCTTACATCGCATAGCTGCTTGGTGTTGTTACTTCACCGCCTCCCTCTGCAGAGCCCGGGCTCTGTATTGTTCCCCTGTGCTGTGCCCTTGCGCCTTTTCCGCCAATAAGCTGTGTCCCAGTGGAGCTTTGCTTCCCTGTGACGTATTGACCCCGCGATGTGTCCTTGCACTGTGTCCTTACCTCACCGTATTTCCTTGTGCTGTGCTTCAGCCCTTTAGTACGTAACCCCACTGAAACTGATTGGCTCTCCCGGCAGGAAACAAAGCCTGGAAGAAGAAACAGCTCGTATACAAGCTGACGGCAGTAGAAGTGGCGTCTCGCTTCATCGTCGACGTGATCGTGCTCGGCCGCCAGAAAGCCAATCCGGAAGGGTTCTCCCTGGTCGGGTGCGTACTCTCTTTGCACATCTTACCCTCTTTCTATGTGTCACGCTCGCAGGCCCCAGCTATCAACGCTAGTACTTTCGGCGCGGTTGCGTTTAACACGTTCATCCCCCAGCTGCCCATTTGCCTACTATTCTCGTCCTCGGACGTCATGGTGTGTCTGGTCCGATGCCTGACCGTCGGTGATCACTGCTGGGCCCGGTGCGCCGCGCGGCCGGTGATCTCTGCCGGGCCCGGTCCGCCGCCCACCCGATGATCACTGCCGGGCCCGGTCCGCCGCGTAGCCGAGGCTCGCAGTCCGCGGGCGCGGCGTGACCGCCGTCCGCCGCCGTCCGCAGGGAGCTGAATGGTCTGCTAGTCTGCTGCAAGTACGGCCAGGCGATGCACACCCCGAAGAGAGCGGCGCCGGCGCCACCTCTGCCCTACTCGTGCGTACACGTGCCGCCGCGCGGTCCTTAGCGGCGTGTCCAACCGGCCAGGCGGCTGGTAGCGACCTCGCTCGGCCGCTGTGAACTGCTGGCGTGGCCCCCGGACCTTCCAACCGCGCGCTTTTGTGGCGGCGGCTGTGTGCTGGTCGTACCGTCTCAGGTTGAGCGCCTGTTGGCCTGGTGTGACGTACTGCCAATGGAGCCGTGCGAGTTGCGCCATCGGCAAGGTCCGGCAACCCATACATTATCAGCACTGGCCAATGGCCGGTAGACGCTGGTCAGGCGCTGTGTTTTCCGGATCCGCTGCGGCGGCGCGGTGACTGACGTGGTGCGCTGACCACAAACGGCCCTCGCAGCCGCGCTCGGCGTGACGCCTCGAGACAAATGACGTCACCTGTGCGGAAGGCAGCGGCTCGGGGATCGCGGCCTTCCCACCCAGTTAAACCGCGTCGCGTGACTCCGCGAAGGCGGCGTTGCCGTTGTCCATCGAGGCGACCGACACTGGTACCTGACCCGGTCTGTTCGCCCCTGCAGACCGGCTGCCCGTAACGGCCCCAAGGTTCCGGACTCGACGCTGGCGCAGGGGTACGCCGGTGAGTGGTCCCGCCCCCGGCTGCGGAGCGCCGGCCGGGCCGGGCTGCGGAACGTCGACCGGCCTGGGCTACGGAGCGCTAGCCGGCCGGGGCTGCGGCGCGCCGACCGGCCGGGGCTGCGGAGCGCCGGCGTCCGGGCTGCGAGCACCGCGGCCGCACCGGCCCGGCCCGGGCTGCGGCGCGCCGGCCGGCCTGGGTAGCGCCGAACTCGGCCGGCGGGGACCGTCCGGGGACGCCGGCCGGCGCGAGTGGAAGCGGGGTGAGGGTGGGGCTGGACTGGGCGGCGATGGATGGCTCCTGGCACAGTGCCAAGGCAGGTCCTGTCCAGGCTAGACGAATCTTTTGGGCGCATTGTAGCGCTAGCTGCCTCCGCCCACTTCAGCCAGCTTGTGGTTGTGTGTTGAGAGAACGGCGGGTGTATTTGGCATGAAGACCAGCAAATGTATGAAACATCACTGATCGGGAACTTAAGTGTTGGTGAATTTGTCATCCGGGGGAATTTCGTATCGTTATTCGTATCTTTGTTTCATCGGTCCCCGAAGGTCATGTGATAATGCATGCTTTTAACGTGTTACAGGCATTGACGGAGTCCCGTTTGTGATAAACCCCAAGCTGAACAAGTCAAAGGAGCTTAAACACTTCATGTTAACGAACGCCAGCTCCATGACCGTGGAAGACCTGGAAAAACTGGTTGGTACTGTCGAATATTCAATATTTGTATGCTCTCAATCAATGAGATTGGTGCCGCTGTGCCATTATGGCACAGCTCTACCAATTTATGTTTGCTGCGATTGATGACGTCAGTGGTTACGAGAAAAGGCATCTAGTGAACAGCTATTGCGACATGCATCATTTGTTATATTGAATGTTTGCTTTTTGGGAAAATCTCACATTGTTCAGCATTCAGTGGAAGTAATTTGCGACAGCGAGGTGCTACCCCTCACAACCAGCAAGAGCAAACAAAGGCATGCGTTGTTGAGTAAAAACATAATCGTGCAACATTTCACCCAAACCCTTGCGCATGCTGTCATTTGGTCAATTTACAGCACCAGAAGCAATAGTGCTTGATGTCACTTTCCCCAACCAGCGCGCGTTTTACGCTCTGCGCGCCAACTGATCAGGTGGCCACGTTGGTCGCCCTATCCAGCGCTGCGTCACCTGTGGCGTGGGGCGTCGCCCTGACGCTGCCGGGGTGGAGTGTAGCGTTACCCCGCGCGGGGATCGCTCCCAGACGGGCACACGCCGCTGTGAGCCGGCCTGGCTCGTCACCGCTCGCCGGAGCGATGGCCCCGCTCACGGGCTCCTTGCCGCCAACAGTTCCTCCAGTGGCAGTGTGTGTCTGGTGCCATTCGTTAGTGCTGACATGGCCGTACAGATTCGTTGTCTGTGCACTCACGTGGATGCGGGTTGATTGGTGGCGTATTTAGGATACGTGTTAGCTGCTGCATTATGCCGAGTGTGGGCCTTGACCAGCGTCACGATACGGCGTCACGTACGGGGGGGCGTCACGCGCGCGGGGCCCGCCAGCGCTCGATGGCCGGATGCGGGCCGACCCGACCGATCCGCACGCCCTCGGTGACAAATGGCCGAGTCCGTCTGCAGCGGCGCCGCCCCCGCCACGGCCGGACGGACTGCGGGCCGCGTGCAGGCGTCAGAGCCGGAGCTGGCCGGAGGCCGCGCCCGCCGCTGGGCGAGGTCCCCGTGCGAGTGGAGCGGGTGGCGCTGTGCTGGACCGCGTCGCGGCCAGCTCACGCAGCACGAGAACCGTGCTCCGTTTAGCTTGTGCGCTGCGGCTGTTCCGGCGCCGTGTGCCGCTATCGTGGCGCAGGTAGCCTGACGCAGTCCTGCCATTTGCAGACGGACTACGACTTCCGGACCGAGTACGCCACGCTGCAGCAGGCGACCACCCCCTGACCGGCGTCCGGCGCTGCCGCGTGACGGCCTCACGTGCGCGGACGGGTCCTCGGAGGCTGCGTGTGCTCCCCACTACGGTCACGAAGCCGCGATGGATTGGCGTGCTTCGGGGCACGGAACACGCTGTCATGATGGCTGGAGGGGCTCTCGGAGTCAGACATGCCCCGCCATGTGTTCAGCGACCAGTGCCAGAGGCGAGCACCTGGAGATGGGTCTTCATGTGCTTCTTGTGTTCCGGATCGTAGTCCCAAAACGCAGGCTTGTGTTGTCCTGTGTATTGTTTCTCGCCTTGCCGCCTCGCGTGATACGTGCATGGATGCATGGCCGCTGGACGAGAAGTGGGGCGAATTGGCATGTTGTTTATGACATAGGCTCGCATCTTTGGCACAGATGTCGACATAACACATATTCGGGCGCGATACAGTCATCCTCACAAAAGCCGTGGTTCATGACACTTATCCGCGTGTGAAGCTCTATCGGTGTTTTAATGTTGTGTAAATGCCTCAATCGTGTATTTTGTTCAAGAGGTACTATGGAGGAATGCCATCGATAATGGAATTCAATGGATCTTAAAGAGTGATGTAGAAAACCGTCGAAGATGTGATTGGAAAAGCAATCTGTGAAAACAGCACGCCTGTAAAGAGTTAGGAATGTCCAAATGACATATCGTGCCCCTCAATAAACTCGCGTGGCGACCACTTGTTAGCCGACGTCGGCGGCATAAAACACACGACCAAACGGCGACTGCGATGACGCAGGGCACGTGTACGTTCCGGAGGCGCCGGAAGCAGCCTGTGGCCGCGGCCTCAAGGGCATGTTCCGCAGAATCTGCAGAACCCTGCCACCGGTCCCCGCCTCCCCTTCCCCTCCCCGATCACAGCGGCGCGGAAGACCCGCGCCCAGCAGGCGACACAACCCGGGGCGCGTCTCACACGGCCAGCTCGCACCGTTCCGGCCAGGCCGCCGCGGGTGGCCGGCCACACACTGGACTAGACTGGGACGTCGCGAGGCCCACACCTGCACTGGACTTGGCCGCCGGCGGCTCACGTCTGCACTGGACTGGGCCGCCGGCGGCTCGCATCTTCACTAGACTGGGCCGCCGGCGGCTCACGTCTGCACTGGACTGGGCCGCCGGCGGTTCACGCCTGCACTGGACTGGGCCGCCGGCGGCTGGCCAACGGCGGCACGCCTGCCGCCCGCATCTTCACCAGACTAGGCCGGCGACAGCGCGCACCACCGACTATCTCCTGCTGATGACTACCGGCTGGAAGGCGGCGGCAGCGCGGCCGCCTGGGCTCAGTGATGTACTGCCGTCCCGGGCCACGAACAGCTGCAGGCCGGTGGCTGTGGACGTACGCGCGCTGTCAGCCCCAGCCGCGGGGCGCAGACACGGGCAGGAGGGGCGGACGACGTGCCGCCGATGTGTTGGGAGACGTAACGTGCACATGCTGACAAACTCACCAAGAAAAAGAAAGCCGAGCAACGCGACAAATACTACATTTTTATGCATGGACATATATCATGCCCCGCACTTTCGCCAATCAGTAAGAGTATGGGGTGTCATTCAAGATTGCCGTGAGTCCCAGCTTTTCTTGGATGTGACTTTTAAGTTCGTTAGTCTGAGGCAGCGTCCCTACTTGTGGCTGGGAATCAGTTAACACACTCACAGTACGTGTTCGTGTTTTAGGCTGCGCGCTGTCCGTATTGAGTTCGGTGCTCTAGGGGTAAGGACGTAGCCAAACAGGTAAACGAAAGAGCAGGTGCTGCCCATCCCCCTCTTTCGGTCGATGGGCCGAATGAGCCTTTGGGCCGAACGGGCGTCCACTGTCCGAAGGGCGTCTAAAAAATATGGACAATTATTTTGAGAAATTGAGACGCAGCAGCCATGAATGCGCTTTTACAATGTTTCCAGAGGTGTCTGGAGCTCCTAGATCGACCACAAGAGTTTTGCTAGCATGCGGAGGACCCCTGCGTAAAGCGAGCAGGCTAAATGTGATAGGAAAAGTGATTCTGGGGGATTTCAGAAAGCTTTGGAGAGCCTAAGGTTGTGGGGTTCCTCCAGCCGACTTTCGTCCATCTTTCGGAGAGACCCTCGTCACGTCTCCGTCCGGAAAACACGTCCTCGGCGCGGTCCGTGTCGAGGTCGAGGCATGTTGGTCCGTCTTGGGATCCATGCTCTGTGGTCTGGTCCGGTCGAGGTTGACGTTCTGCGGTGCGGTCCGTGTTGCGGACGTTCGGTGGCCACTCACCCTCGGTGTGGTCCGTGTTCAGGTCTGTGTTCTGCAGCAGGTCGTTGATGACGTCCTCGGGGTCGACCCGCGTGGCGTCGAACCGCGAGCTGGCGGGCACCTCCTTCTTGCGCCGCTCGCTGGTCGGCGGCCGCTCCATTGAGCTGTAGTCGGAGAAGGCCGAGCCGCTGCTGGCCGTCCTGCAGGCCGGCACGGAGACCTCCGTCAGCGACAGCAGCGCCGGCGGCCAACAGTGGCCCAACCGGGGACACCGGTCAACAACCCACATCGCTGGGAAAGCCATTTCCGAGCCATAGGGCCCCGCACATCTTGATATCGATACTTGATCGATGCTGTTAATAACAAGAGAAGACTAATATTCTCCTACGCGCCTGGGACCGCCTCGTGGCGTGAGGTCACCCGACGGGCCTCAGCGGGGCCCATCGGGAAGGTCAGCGCCGGCCCGGCCGGGAGGGAACTGGGAGACGTCACAGGAGACGGAGGCGCTGCTGACGGGACACCGGGCCCGCCGTTCACACGGCTCAACCGACCCGGGAGAGGGAGGGGGGGGGGCGAGCCGGGCTCGCTCCCGACGCGTCAGCGTATCTCGGGCGGTGGCGGGGAGTGAGCGCCTCTCTTGGGTAGAGTGGTGAATAGCGCGGCGGCAGCCCAGGGTGTGGAGTACTCTGAGTGGCGAAACGATCGGGCGGGATATCGTATGAGGACGACGTTATAGACCAGCGCGCTTTGACATGGCCAAATGTCAGACCATGACCTTTTGTCCCATACGCCCCAATACGGATGAGTCGACTAGCTCGAATGGAGGGCAGGTCGAGCAAAAACGGCTGGGAAACCATGTCCCGCCAAGCGCGGGACCCTGACTACGCCCACATCACACTTGGATCTCATTACTTACCTACTGCGCTCACACAAAGCACCTGACACCGAGCTACGTAAGCCAATACTCCTCACAACATTCCAAAGAGTGTGCCGGGTCTGGCCCGCGCCTAAGGTGGGCCAGCTGCTCCCGGCGGTGCCACGCGTGCGTCCTCCGATGGGTCCCCGTGGCCCTGCAGACGAGATGGGGCCCCTGTGGTGCCGTGCCGGGACAGGTCCATGTGGCGTCGTGCATGCGTTGGCCCGTGTGCTGCCATGGCTGGCATGGGTCCATTCCACACAGTGCCAAATCTGATGACGTGAATCCCTACGGTGCGATCCACACCCCAGGTGGGTCCTTTTCGCGTGCAACAGGTATATGTGGTGCCGTACCTGGTACGGGTCCGTATAGTGCCGTAGCCCAGGTGGGTCCATACTCCCGTACCTGAAGCCGGGCCGTCCCTACGGTGCCTCGCCCAGGACGAGTCCCTGTATGTCTGTGCCCCGTACTCTGTGGCGGTTCCCCGTGTGTGGCGCACCTGGGGCGGGCTCCCGCAGGTCCGTGCGTGTCCCCGTGTGTGCCGCAACTCTGACGGGCTCCCGCATATCCGTGCGTGTCCTCGTGTGCGCCGCCCCTGGGGCGGGCTCCCGCAGATCCGTGCGTGTCCCCGTGTGCGCCGCCACTGGGGCGGGCTCCCATAGGTCCGTGCGTGCCCCCGTGTGCGCCGCACCTGGGGCGGGCTCCCGTAGGTTCGCGCGTGTCCCCGCGTGCGCCGCCCCTGGGGCGGGCTCCCGCGGGTCAGGGCGTGTCCTCGTGTGCGCCGCACCTGAGGTGCCCCAGCTCGGAGCTGCTGCTCTGTCGGCTGTGGGACGGCTGGGACGCCAGGCTGCCGTAGCCCGACTGGCTGCTGGAGTTGCGCGAGTGGCCGGGCGGCCCGGCCTCCCGCGAGCTTGACAAGCACTCCAGCTCCGACGCCGGACCATCGCCTGCGGCAGTCGGCATACCACGGTCACCACCTGACACCGACAAGCATCATAGCCCATGCGGCGGCAAAACGGTCACTTTGCCACCATTTAGTTCTCCAATAGTATGTGACAGCGAGCTATCTGTACGAGCGCGTTAAAGATCACGTCGACTCCTTTTGACCCTGCGCCCTTTCACACCCCATACAGTACTCTCGAAGCAAGACTACCAGTCCCAGTCGTCTGCTTCCCAGCTAACGTAGACAGGTGACATCGCCGGAGGCTCGGTGTCACCTGTGTGTCGATGACTCAGGCCGGCGGGCACAAGCAGGCGCGCTCGCGCCGCTTGTCGGGCGAGGGCAGGGCGGCCGACGGGCTCAGGGGCCAGTCGAGGTCATAAGAACGGCTGCGACGCTAGGTTTTGTCACAGCAGGAACCACCGGGTTTTGTCCAAGAGCACCACGTTCTAATGACGACGGGGTGAGAATTGTACGCTTTACAACCACAAAGCCGACAAAAACGGACTTTTCACAACTCTACCGCACCGGGAAATCTGTATTGTGCTTGGGTTGTTGTGCTTACTGACCGAGGGAAGCTTTACGAAAGATCGTTATACTAGCGCACACTAAGGCAATAGGCTAAGTGGCATACGCACAAAGTGCACGATAAAACTTGATACCGTTCTGACGTCTCGGTCGGTCGCCACTGCAGTTTTCATCATTTCACGACAACCTGTTAACACCCGGCGCGAGCGTCGGCTCCGGGCATTACCAGACCGGCTTACAAACCCCATGGTCCACCAAGCGGTCATCGCGGCTCCGCTTATTACCAGCGTCGCCCGCTTCGTTGGGCGGCTTTCGAGCCGGTTTTCATGGGATAGTCGCCTGGACCGGTCGCGCACCTGGCGACGCTCGGACACTGGTCCCAATAGGGACTGCGGACCCGCTCACCGCACCCCGGCCGCGCGCCGCCAGGAAACAGGTTCGACGAACGGCAAAACCCGCTCCCAGGGTCAGATCCCGGAATCCACATCATACGGGGACCGAGCCAAGCAAAATATGCACCCCCTGTTGGAGCGGAAGATAATAACCAAAAGTTAGGAGCTGGTCTAGTTTTTTCCAGTTATCGGCCCAAACGACCGACACGCTGGTAAAAGGGACCGCTCCCATAAAAAACGACGAGTTCACAGGAGGTTGGCTGGCCCTGCGCAAACCACACAAAGGTGATGTCTGAGTCCAGAAATCCAGCCTGGTCGGGGCACGGTTCTGGGAAGGTGCTGGCCACGGGACGTCCACCCTACGCGGCCATACACCGGCTAACGGGAGATGCCAGCGGACTCTGCTGACCCCTGGCGACGATGTCAGTGACGCCGCTGACCTCTGGCCGCGGGGTCAGGGTTCAGCGGCGTGATCGGGGACGTGTTGATCTCCGGTCGTAAGGCCAGGGGATCTATTGACCAATAGCTTTGGCAGGAGGGTTGGAACGCTGCTGACCTCTGGCAGCAGGCCAGGGGATCTGCTGACTCCTGACGACGAGTTCGAGGGAACAGCTGACTTCCAGTGTTGGCCGGGGGACCCTACTGACCCCTGGCGCCGGGCTCAGGGACACTACTGACCTCGGGCGGCGGTTGGGTCGGTGGGTGTGACTCGGCTTGACTCCCCCGGTGTCGACGCCTCGGTCGTCAGGTCGCCGCCATCACGCGGGAGGTGCGCGGACCGGGGCGTGGGCCTGCCGACAAACATCACACGTGCTGGCACCTGCACACAAATGAAAGCTCACAGCCCAACGACGATGTGATGTAACATGCAACCCGCACCTCGGTTAGACAGGCATACACGAGATGTCGGACAGCTGAACTGCGACGTAACGGCAGGTAGCCTGACAAAAACACACCTGGTGTCAGACAGGTGGGAACTTCAAATGTCAGACAGCCAGACACGGCTGTCACGCAGCCCTTCACGGCAGACCCGAGACAGCCGGACACGCCGGCCTGGGAGCCGCGGGCAGACACGCCGGGCGTCAGACAGACACACCGGCCGTCCGAGCCGGACCTCCCGGCACCGTCACACGGCTGTGGGGGCGGGCCGGCGCCGGCCGCCGCCTCGGAGCGCCCCGCCCCGCCCCTCCCGGCGTCGGCCGCCGCCTCCCCGCCCGCCCCGCCCGGCATCGGCCGCCGCCTCGGAGCGTCCCGCCCCGCCCCGTCCGGCATCGGCGCCGCTGCAGCACAGTGGGCCGCACACACGCGTGTTGACACTGCAGCCCCACGGCCCCGGCGGGAGGCGGGCTCGGAGCCGCCCGCAGCTGCAGCTCGTCGCCGGAGCGGGCCGCGTCACGGCGCAGACACCGCCGCTCGCGGACCGAGTAGCAAGAAACCGTTCGCCGGGGGGGGGGGGGGGGGGCACGAGAAAACCGGCATTGCCCGTACCGTTAGAAAGCCGCCCAAATGTGTCGTTTGTTTCGCCGCGCACGCTGTCCAGACAAGCAAATGTGGACAGCCGGCTCCGAAAACAAAGCACGGAACACAATAGAAAATGTAGTATGACATGACACTTCCAAGCCGTGCCATATTTTTTGTTTTGGACGATACAGATAAAAGTTTGGCTCGGACAGAACGGCTACCATGAGTCAGAAGTTACTGGCCAAATGATGCGCCAATAACTCGCGCGCAACTCAGCAAGGCAGACCACCGACAACTCGCAACGCCCAAACGCCAGGAGATCAAGGTCTTTCTCGCTACATTACAATGTCAGGTGAGCAAAAGCCTCACGTTTCCACGCAGCACAACGCAAAACATTTTTTCGGTGGGCCCAGTAATTTACAAAACAAGAATCTAATTACTCCAGCCCGTCACAACTTTCATTTGATTCCGTCATCAGTTAATACCGCTGACGGCGCGCTAGCGCGTTGAAGAGCAAAAGCGTCCATGCCAACCTTTCAGTGGCCCAGATATCTGCTCATAGGGATGACCGACAGTCAGAAGCAACAACCGCCGCCTGTCTCTTCCGGCCGCGCCGCACTGGCAGACCGGGGCGGCTGCTCCGGGGTGGGCTCCCCCGCCCCCTGACTGGCCCGCCAAACGGCGGCGGGCTTCCAAATAGGCCATCCAGGGGGGAAGCCACGCACTGAGCGCCGGCCTGGCCCCCGTCCAGCCCCGGCCGGCCTGCCAAGAGGGCATGTCGGAGGCGAGACGGCGGTCGTCCACCACCGCGCCCCGCTGCCGGGAGCTGCTGACTTGACGCGGCGCCGGCGCCAGGGCCAAGGACGCCGGCTTGGCAGGGGTGGTGAAGATCAGACCCATTTCTACTGCAGGCTCGCGCACGCAAATAACGAACGGTTCGACCGTGGGGAGACCGCGCGGCGCGACGCAGAGAGGAGATGTGACGTACAGAGGTGTCATCAACGCTCATATAATTAGTTTGAAATGAGCGAGCATAGATAAATTTCATACGGCATGAGTCCGCACTGTTAAAAGAGTCGGCGATGCACAGAACAGCGCATCAGAGAGTCACGCGAGCTGGCCAGATTGACCCGACAGTCGACCAGCACAGATGGGGATTTCCAAGACCTCGGCCATTATTTCTACAATGCAGGAAAAATACCACAGAAGCCATCGTCCAAGTACCCTATAAAAATCCAGATATCTGTCTTAACTGCAGGATCTTAAAACAGAACACGTTATCAAGGACGTCCCCGTAGCACGTAACAAGCACAACTCAGGTCTGCGCACGCGAGGTGGCTCGGTGACCTCCCCATGTCCTTGGCGAACGGACCGGGGCAAACGCCGCCAGCAAACTACCTACAGATTGCATCAGTGGTTGGAAATTCGCTGGAGCTGGCCATCCCGAGTAAGACAGGGATCCCGCATTCTGGTTGTCATGGTGACGAAAAACCCGGCCGGTGCAGCAGACCCGAGGGGGGGGGGGGCTGGTCAAGGATCATGCAATTTCTTCGATATTAGATTGCGCTACTCTCTGAACACAGTGAAGCACACAGAGACACAAACAAACAGCGAGGTCTGCCATCGTGCAAACCTCTGATGTAATACCCGATTTAATACCCGTGATTCTTATTGTCACGTTAGCGTAAACGCCTGATAGCCAAACAAAAGAGACAACCTGGCAAAATAGGCAAATTCACAAGCGTGGCATTTTCACGGTAAATTTAAAGACCCTTTTTACCGTACCATTTTTACATCAGAACCATTCATTTTACGAACGCCACTGTCAACAGTTAAGTCATGGGTCAGCCAAACAGCTCCGCCCAGCTTATGGACGGCACGAACGCGGCCGACATGATGCCGAGCTCAGCTAACCCGTCTTACCGAACGAGCGCAGCGCCGCCTTGCAGCCTGCATCTGAAAATAGTCTGTCTGAAGGGCATCGGCAGATCGCGCGGTTAAAAACGGCCGGCGGCGTTGCCAGCCGCCTCCTGTAGCCGAGACGTGTCTCGCTCGCCTGGTCCCCGGCGCGTCGAAAAGGCTGCGATCGGGCACCCAAGCTGGGTGGGTGGAGGGCGTGGCAAGTCACGGCGGCGCCGGGGACCCGCTGCCGTCGTCGAGTCGGGCTCGTCTGCCGGACTGGCGCCCGGCGCAGGGCAGACGCCGCCGGTGACGTGGCCGCAGGTCCCACTGCCGGCCGTGGACCCGGCTGCTGGCCGCGTGTCACATGGTGCCAGCGTACCGGCCGGATCGGGTGTGTGTGACGGGCCGCCACACGGGGCAGGTGCGGTTACCCGCCACGCGGTGGGAATGGGAACGCGCCGCTCCTCGATCCGGAGTCTGCGGCCGCGCTCCGGCAGCGGTCGCCCCGACTGCCACTGCCACCGACACTCCGCGGCTGCCACTCCGGCAGCGGTCACTCCGACTGCCACTGCCGCCGACACTCCGCGGCTGCCACTCCGGCAGTGGTCACCCCGACTGCCACTGCCACCGACACTCCGCGGCTGCCACTCCGAGATCCATCCCAGAGACGGCAACGTTTCACTCGGAGATGGCCCCAGACGCCGGCCTCCCCGCACCCGCATCCCATCCCACCCGGCGCCAACTCCGCACCGGCCGCGGCGTACTCACGTGCGGAAGCAGGGGTCGCCGCTGAGCAGGGTGGTGGACAGCACCACCTTGAGCGTGGAGTTGTCCTGGCGGTGGCGCAGGTCGTAGCCCTGCAGCAGGTAGCGTCGACACTGGCCCACGCCGCCGGCGAACTCGGCCAGCTCGATGTCGGCGAAGCCCAGCTTCTGGTACGAGCGGCCGCCCTTGGCCTCCTGCGACGCGGGGACGACGGCGTCAGGCGGCGACGGACCGAGGGCGGCTCGCGGCGGCGCGACCGACGCACACGGTGGCGTTACAGGCCAGTGGAAACAGCGCGTGGCCGAACGGTGTGACGGTCTGGACTGCTGTGGGACACGTGGCAGTGGTGATGCAGTGGTCACTTCTGTGCCACGGGTGCCGGAAAACATAGCGTGCTGGAAACACATCTGCAGCTGCTTGGAACTTATGGTTGCGGAGTGTGCTGAGGTCGTATAAAGCCTGGTGGAAACCCGCCGGGTGCTGATAAATGTGTTATGATAGCGGCGATGCGCCTCAGCAGTCCCCCCCCCCCCCCCCGCCCTCCCTACCCGCTCCCCGCTCAGCTGGCCAGAGAAAGGGCAGGGGAACACATCCGCATATATTACCTCTCTACACGCAGCGCTAACTGGGCCATGCACCTATTAAAAAATAAAAAAATGACATCAAATAACATTGCAAAATTACGTGGTTGCTAGCACAATCTTGCCATGGAAGTTGCACCAGCTTGGTACCCTCCAAAGCCAACACGTTTGGCTGAGCCGGCAAGTCGTCGCCATCGCACCATTCAAATCGTGCAGTCAGGATACTGACCAAAGCATTACCGGGCGCTGCCATCACTCATGTTCCCCACCGTGCATCGAGCATTGCAAGCCACTGCCATTATTCGCACTGCCCACGGCTGCCGTGCCGCAGTCCTTAACAAACACACCAGCTCGTTATTCCCCATCCCCATCGGCCACAGCTGTCAGCCATATATACGGGAGTCGTGCCACGTCAAAGAAAGGCTTTGCACGGAGACCGCCGTGAAGGGCTAGAAGAAAAGGCACGCCTCTTTGTTTAAAGTAAAGAAATATGCCTAAACATAGCACTGAAAATATCGGAAAGGAAAATGTGTTTTCATGAAAGGCCGCGCTGAGGGCTACCCAATAAACACAAGCCGTAATAAACTACTTACAATGTATCAATATAACAACATTTTATTTTCGCACGCACAGACAACGAATACATTCGAGAGAAAAGCTTGCAACCGCGTTGATTCAAGGACTTGACCACTGAGCAATCTGATATGAGTTGAACAGATGGGAATAACGGGCCTCTCCGGACCCATTTGATATCTTGGTTGTAAGTTTGTGCATCCTGCTGCGACGATTCTGTAAAGTTTTGGTTTCAGCACACTTGTGGCTAGGGATGTTAGCGGTACTTTCCAATGTGGTAGCGCGCGTGGCCATAGTCGCAGCGGCGTCCGGTGAACGAAACGTTACCAAATCAGCAATGTTACCGTTCTTTTGCATGTGGGAAGATAGCGGTACTTTCCAATACGGCGTACTTAAGTCCATGGTCGGGGCGTAAGCTGAACAGAATTACCAAAGCGGCAATATTTCCGTAATCCCGCATCAGTTGGGGTTAAAGATACTTTTCAGAATCCGAAGCTCCACGTTCTAGGAAAGAAAGAATTCGGAGAACTGCTGCCAGGCACAGTCCCTTTAACAACGACTAAACACACAAGTGCTAGCGGCACCGAATTATCCTTGGTATAATTACCCGTATCATTCGTTTATGAACAGTGATGCCAATGACGGGACATTAGCACGTCACATCGGGAAAACAAAATTAACGCGACGTTTTACCCACCAGCATGAAAAAGATTTGTTGATACCACGCTGATATGAGCTTGGTCTATTACTTACCTTGCCTGAACTCCCTATATGCCAGTCCCATTATTTCGGCCAACAACTCCTACAGCACACCAACGGGCCCAGATACTGCACCTAGCGCAGGTACTATGCTATCTATGCACCGAAAAGGAAGACCAAGGTATGCCCCCACTGTCTACAGACAGGTGGCCGATAGCATCTTGGCGCCTGCCCAGGGCTGGACATGAGCTGCAATGGTAAACGTCAGCAACACAGTGCTGCACAGCCGCCCGGGCAATCACAGGAAAAACTATCACTTTCACTTGGTTCGCGTGCCAACTGAAAGCATGCATTGCTGGCTGCCTAATCGTCCAATGTCATGATAACGGCCACCATTGTTATATTGGCATCACGACGGTGGTATCGCGAGTTGCTTCACTACGGTGATGGCAGAAACATTGCCTTGTAACGGACCACCTAAAACACGCAGACAATGCAAAACGGTCGCGAAGGAGAACACGGAGAGAACTACGCATCGGAATCAACTGATCACGCAGATCTGCTGTTGAAGAGGTGGATCAATATTCATCATGCACCATTAATCGAACCAGAAGGCTTTTAGTTTTAGGCACGCTTCTCAAACGCCCGAATGCACGCAAGGCCACTAATTGCATGCAGCCAATGCCAAGAAAGGAAACCACACATCAGCCACGGGTGGACAGACACGGTCACGTGGTCGATAACAAATTAGTGACACGACTGCCACTAATATCCCCTTTTAGAGGAGAAATGTTGCAAACAAACTTTGCTACGTAAACTTGGTGTGGTCACAACCACACCTATCATAACGCAATGCAACGGGGAATAGGTGGCTGTTACTTGTTGTTAAGGGCACAGGTAGCGGTGCAGTTTGTTACAGGTAGCCTCCGACACAGCCCAATGTGCCACGCAACTGATCCGTCCTTAGTTCCAACGCAAGCGTTTCAGTGGTCGCGCATAGCACGGGAGAGACAAATGAGCGCAGATTCGCGAGACCTGCCACGCTCCCTGTCAGGACTACACGGAATCGGCACAATCTTCATCGACGTTTATCGGAAGTCGGCGGATTTTTCCACGCCCCCAGCCTGCCGAGACCTTATCCCAACGGCACGTATGGAAGGCAAGGTCATCTGATGCTGCCTATTCGGCTCGACATCCGGTACTGCCGCGAGAGCCAAGGACAGACGCGCTCCTAGGGCAAATGTAATATCCCGAGAGTAATTCGCGACATTGGCGAAGCGCGGGCCGTGGGATAACGCCGGGACATAACGCCCGGAAACGAACGCCGTCCTCGAGATCATCGCCTGGCCTAACGTAAGCCCAATCCCTGAACTCATCGCACGGCTAGGAGAGAACACGCCGTCCGAGACGCCCGCCACAAACGCAGCGCTGCGAGCGAAGCCACACGCGTCGGCCGCGCGAGCACCGCGCGGCAGCGCGCTCGGCTCGGAACATCACAGCAGCACGCCGCGCCCGCTCGAACCGGTGACGCCGGTCCCAGGGCGTCCGACGCCCAGCTGGCGGCTCACAGCTCCCGGGAAGGCCGGGCAGCGCGCCCCGCAAACCGGTCTCTTCAGGAAAGGTCCGCCCCGCATCACGACCTCCCCTCACGTCACGCACACCGCACGAGGGCAGCCGGTGTTGCCGCCGCTCTCACCCCCACTCACGCAACGGGGCAGACGAGCGAGTGACGTCACCGGCAGACGGGCCAGTGACGCCACCGGCAGAGATGAGTGACGTCACAGCACACGGACTGGGACCAAGCACCGACATGGGGAAATACACCGTTCTTCCCTGGGCCCGGGAGGAAGGGATGATTGGACTCGTCTGCCGGCGGCGTCGCGAGCGGTTGCGGTCAGTGTGGGGCTGGCCGGACCGGTCGGTCGGTCGGTCGGTGGACAGGGCGACACGGCCAGCGGGGCGGACCAGCCCCGTCCCGTCCCGTTCTGTCCAGGAGGCCCGCCGCGGCCGGACCGGTCTACCGGCCTCGGCCAGTCACCCGCCACGCCGCGCCGCTTCCGCCGCGAGCCGACGCGGCCGGCCGGCCGGCCCGCCGCTTACGGAAGGCCACTGGGCCGCGCCGATTGCTGCCAGGTTCGGAGAATTCCGAATCTAAATGATGCACTTCGCCATTTTTGTTTGACCTTTCGAATCCGCGCCATTCTTACCACGGAAACTGCATAGCTGGCAGCACTTGGAGATGCACTAGCCGTGTATCTCCACTGCCGATCGCTAGTGCCTCTTCGTCCCGCTTCAAACAGCCGCAGCCGCCGACATAACGAATTCGCCCGAGCGGGACGACGCATGCTAATCGGCCCGACACCCGACCTTATCGCCGTCCTTCCGCCGCCGGCGCGGTGCAGACGTGCCGGACGGGGGGCGACAACCCTCTGCACGCGGGTGTCTGCAGCATGCGGAGGCCGGCCGGAGACGCCGGACCCCTGCGAGGCACGGGAACGGCGGAGGCCGGAGCTGACCGGCGCGGCCGCGTGCGTGGGTAAACGCACCTCATTCGTCGGCGGTGATCATAAGCGGACGTTCGGGACTCTCACTGGCCATCCGTGAGTCATCTGCTGCAGTTCATGCAACCCACTGAACGACGTGACTTGGATCAATGAAAGTATGGGATCGTTGGCTCATGTAGCATGGCAGCTTAATACCTCCCGGTATATTAACCATAGTGCCGGAGTATTGACGCAATATGATGGCAATCGACTCCAGACAAACACCCGAAGTCATCATCAACCGCAGCGAGTATTCGAAATATGCTGTCCTGCGGTACGTGATAAGCACATAAAAACACGGTGTACATACATAGACCATCCATGTTCATGGATTTAGTCCACTCCTTACACTTTTTGCTTAATAACTTCGGCAGCTCGAAATGTTGTTCTAGGAACGCTTCTACCAAAGGCCTCCATGGAGAAAACTTATGCGTGGACCCTGAACTCGCCACCCAAGTGGTCCGAACTATGGCCGGAATGCCACGCAAAAAAAAAAATGATGTCATATAACGGAGACCGTAAAGCTATGCAACGGCTTTTATGAACTCCAGAGGATAAGTATACCAACAAGGTTAGAGCAAAACAACGAACAACATTCGACGTGCCGTAAAGAAAACAATGTCTTTTTCTGACGCCCAGTGACAGCCCATGCGATAAGGATAAACCTGTTCCGTTCGTTTACGTTCGTGCTTGAGCCACCCCAAAAAGAAATCGAACGGTCACTTCATCAGCATGCAACACGTGTGAGCCCCGATAGGCCACACCCCAGCCGGACACGGCTCGCCCAGACCGGCCGGCTGACGACGTCAGATCGCCACCTGCATCTCCGGTGAGCCGCTCAGCTGCGGTGGACGAGGCGCCGCGCGGCGCGGTCCGTCGCCTCGCCGGCGGCGGCGGCGGCGGGCGGCGGGCGGCGGCCGTGGCAAGGCCGCGGCGCCGCGGCGCCGCCGGCACCGTTAGAGGCGCGCCCGCCTCCCGCCGAGACGACACGCGCCGTTCGCATTCCCACGGGCGCGGTCGGCACGCGGCGGACGGCCGGCGCCGATTACCGGGCCGCCGACGACAATGCGACTCTCGACCGCAGCCGGCGGTGCCGTCCGGCCGGCGCGCTCCGTCCGCTGTGCCGGGACGCGGCGGGCGGCGTCGACAGCTGACCGGAGCGGCCACCGTCCCGTGTCCTCGCTCGGCGTCCGGCCCCGCGGCGCCTGGCACCCGGGGCCGGCCGGGCGGCCCGCGTCCGCCGCTCGATGCGGCCGCCACATCTGGTCGGCCCTCCCGCCCGGCGGAGCTGCGCGTGCCGGCCGACACTGAAGCCCGGTGTAGCGCAGCGCACCGGACATACCAGAACCTAACGCGCGTCGGGAGTGGGGGGGGGGGGGGGGAGGGCAGTCTCGAATCGTGGAACGCACCTGTCGCTGGTTTACGGGAGCGTCCTTACACTGGCTGGCCGAGAGACTGACCGCGCCAAGCTCCCCGCAGTACAGCGCGTCCCTGCTGCTTGCGTCGTGTACCTGCGCTAACAATGCTGACATCGATAGCTCGCCCGAACCCAGCGCGCACGACCCGCTCTATCGCCGGATTTCCGCGTCGTCCGATCTCCAGGCCGAGCGGCCGGTTGTGCTTCCTGCCCGGCCGTGGGCGGGCTGCACGGTTGGGTCAGCGCCATCCGTCCGAGCGCGACAAGGCGCTGCAGCCAGTCCAAGCGCGACAGGGCGCTGCAGCCAATCCGAGCGCGACAAGGCGCTGCAGCCAGTCCGAGCGCGACAAGGCGCTGCAGCCAGTCCGAGCGCGACAAGGCGCTGCGGCCAGTCCGAGCGCGACAAGGCGCTGCAGCCAGTCCGAGTGCCACAAGGCGCTGCAGCCAATTCGAGCGCGACAAGGCGCTGCAGCCAGTCCGAGCGCGACAAGGCGCTGCAGCCAGTCCAAGCGTGCCACGGCGCTTGAGGCGGGCGGGGTGCCGGCCGCCTCGGCCGCCGGCGGAGTAGGCCGTATCGCGAGAAATCGCGACACAGGCCGACCACCGGCGCGGCGCCGGTCTGGCGGGCGGATAGTGCGCCTTCTGCGCCGGGCCGGGCCTTTTGTAGAGGGGCACCGGCTGTTGTAGCGACGCGGCGCCTTTTGTGGAGGCGAGATGCCTCCTGCACAGAGGCGGCCCCTGAGACGGCACCGCGCGGTACGCACTCGGCTGGCGCGGCCATCTGCCGTGACCGCGTCCCGACCGCGTCCCAATGCCGTGACCGCGTCCCGACGCCGCCGGCCGGCGGCGGCGGGCCCGGCCACGCTGGCAGACGGTCGGCCGGCCGGCGCGGCGGTGGCTGCTGTTCGCGCCGCTCGACCGACGGCGGGTCGCAAAACCCTACCGGCACCGCTGCTGCGGACTGCCCTGACTTGGGCAAGGCACAGAGCCCCCCCCCCCCCCCCCCTCCCCCATCTACACAGCGGCTATCGACGACAGGCGGCACCTAGTGTCCTGCGCTGGGTGCCACCAATTACGAACGTGCGTCTGCTGGCCATGCACTTGTCACGTGCGAAATTATAAACCTGTGATGAATATGATGAAACAGCCACAATGCAACTTTTAGGCGAAATGACGGCGATCCTGCCCATCGCGCAGGACGGTGTAAATTTAAATATAAACCCCAACGAAGCGCCGTAACCGAGGATCGGTCGGACTGCTAACGTAGACTGTCAGTCATTAAAGGTTGTCAGAATGACGAGCCGGCTGCTCTCTATAGCTGGCGGGCTGCAGTTCCAGCAGTCCCCGACTCAGTCCCTGCACACAAAAACACGCAGGTCGCCTCCATCATTTTGGAATGAAGTGCTATTTCAGCGTAGTCCTCGTGAGTAGGCCTAGTTTTGGTGTGGGTTTGGCCAGACAAGGCTTCCCCGCCCTCACCCACGGGCAAACAAGCTATAACAGTGCGTTACAATGCATATCCAAGTCACCGGACTAGCCAAGCTGAAACCCTGACTCACGATGACCACCAGCAGCCTAGCCACACGCCCTCCGGGTCGGTCCTCTGTACCCGTCCCCCCCCCCCCTGCCCTCCCGCTCCAGCGGCCCAGCCGGAGGTCGGCGTGACGTGACTGCCGGCGGGGTCCGGATTTCCACGAGCCCGGCAGCGGCCAGCCCAGGTGGCGGCCTCCCGCCCGGTGACGTCATCCCCACCTGACGTGGCATGTGACGTCACACCGTGGTGTAATCGGGGAGCGGCACGGGCCGCGCGCACAGCGATCGACCCGGCCTCCCGCCCGAGAGAGGAGGCTCACCGGGGCTCACGTAAGTCGGATAGCGTTCCTACACTTATAGTGGCCAACGGCATCTGAAAAGTATATCGAGGTGCTCTTCGCAGCGCTACTGAGCAACCATGTGGCAGAACGTAGCGGAAAAGCATTTTCATTCCGATAGCTGTTCAGCACGCCAATGTAAGCGGCTGGCTGTCTGGCGGAGGGCAGACGAAAAACTTAATGACATTTACCGAACATGAGCGTACGCGCAACCACAGTCATGTCACTTTTATTGAAAATCCAATCGCACGAGCCTAGTCCGAGAGGTGCCCAAAGGACGCCATGCCAGTTGTCCGTCGTTTTACCTCTGGTATTATGAACAATCTCACATGACGTTTCATTGCTAAGAGATATCCTTCAAGCCAGCTTGAGGCTGGAAATCTCGAACAATTAGCCCATTCAAACCGCAATCACAAACTGTTTGTCAGCCCGGAGCACGGACGTTTGCTCAGGCTCAGTTATCACTTCAGTTCTATTTGCCGTCTTCCGCGGCGGTAAACACACCATATCTATTCCGCCCACATCGATGACGTCACATCGGCTACAAACGTTATCGATTCATTGGGTCAGACAGTGTTCAATTTGTTTCATTGTTTCTAACATGGCAGCTTCTGTTCGCGCTCCACCGACATATAAGATGAAATAACGTATGCACGCTCATGCATTTTAAGCCGCAAATTCGACTGGTCGTGACAGCCTTCAATGCTGCCGATTCCCAGATTGAACATGAATATCTGAATAACAAAAGCTTGCACAACGCTGTCGATTTGGCAATGAGATACGAACACATGCATCCAGAATCAACGGCTATACTGACTTTTTGATGGGGAATACGAAACAGCCTGCACATAGATCCAGTGTATAGCAGCGTCCGTTGCGACAGTCCCGCATGATGCGGACACGCGGAACCGGGAGGCTGACCTTCCTGACGGACACTCGACAGAGGCGGGAGTCCAGCACGAGACTGACCTTCCTGACGGACACTCGACAGAGGCAGGAGTCCAGCACGAGACTGATCTTTCTGACGGATACTCGACAGAGGCAGGAGTCCAGCACGAGACTGACCTTCCTGACGGACACTCGACAGAGGCAGGAGTCCAGCACGAGACTGATCTTTCTGACGGACACTCGACAGAGGCAGGAGTCCAGCACGAGACTGACCTTCCTGACGGACACTCGACAGGGGCAGGCGTCCAGCACGAGAGACCTTTCTGACGGACACTCGACAGAGGCAGGAGTCCAGCGCGAAACTGACCTTCCTGACGGACACTCGACAGGGCAGGCGTCCAGCACGAGACTGACCTCCCTGACGGACACTCGACAGAGGCAGGAGTCCAGCACGAGACTGACCTTCCTGACGGACACTCGACAGAGGCAGGCGTCCAGCACGAGACTGACCTTTCTGACGGACACTCAACAGAGGCAGGCATCCAGCACGAGACTGACCTTTCTGACGGACACTCGACAGAGGCAGGAGTCCAGCACGCCAGTGCTCGTCGGCGCCGTCATCTTGGCGCAGAACGACATCTTGGCGTTCCACTTCACCGTGTGATCACGCACCTCCTCCCTGAAATGGAGCCGTGGTGAGCGGTTAGCGGCGACGGTACGGTGAGAACGGGTACGGTGGCGAAGCGGCGTTGAGATGCGACGCTGGCCACCCAAGTAAGCAGACAGCGAGGAGACGGGTCGCCCACGGCGGCGCTGGGGACGTGTGATCGCCACCGGACGAGTTACCTCGTCATCCCGTGGTAGGGCCCCTGGGCTCTGGTTGCCTCACTGAATGCTCCACGCCCCAAGAACGGTGTGGCATACTCGCCACATTATCTTCCACCATATCTATATCACATCTGCCCTTCCCTCCCGCCCACTGACTAGTTTACGGCTGCTGCTTAGACCGGTTGGCCGCGTCCCACGCGGCTCAGTGACGTGGCGGTACTGGCAGCCGGCCCGAGCAGCGCGGCTCGGTGCGGCGCGCCGCTGCGTGGGCCGGACATCCGATCGACCCCCACCTCCCCACCCCCAACCGGTGCCGGTAGCGGGGCGCGCTGAAGGGTCCGGGCAGCGCGGCGCGCGTCGGCACGGCCCCATCGCGCCAGGCCGGATGGCGGGCGCCCACGCTGCCGGGCGGCTGCCGACGGCGACAACAGATGCCGGACACAGCCGGCCGCCAGCAGCGGCGCGCCGGCCGGCCGGCGACAGTGGACAGTCCCACTGACCGCCTGGTGTCAATCGGCGGTCCAACTGGCCGTGCCGCGTCGGCGGCAGCGGCGGCGGCGGCGGCGGCAGTGGACACCTGCCATCGTCCGGCCGCCGATCCCGGATCACCAGGCGAGCTGACCTTGCGGTCGACGAAGGTCGGCCGGTCGAGGGACCCGCTCGCGTCACGCCGGCAGCGCCGCCGCCACGCCCGCCCCGACAAAACACGTCCTCGGCCTCGTGCCCGCCCGTGCACTGACGAGCGCTCTCGCACACGGGCTGTCAGCTGGCGCCGGCCGCGCTGCACTCGCCGTGGCCGCGCACAGGGCCGTGCCGGTCGACCAAGCTCGCCAGCAGAACCTGTCTCTGCAGCCCTACAGTAGCGCTGCCACCGCCGCGATGCCGAGCTCACTATGCGGACTGTCTCTGCGCCCTACAGTAGCGCTGCAACCGACCGCGATGCCGAGCTCACGGTTATCTGAGGATGTCTCTGCAGCCCTACAGTAGCGCTGCATCGACCGCGATGCCGAGCTCACGGTTATCTTGAGGACTGTATCTGCAGCCCTAACAGTAGCGCTGCATCGACCGCGATGCCGAGCTCACGGTTATCTGCGGACTGTCTCTGCGGCCCTACAGTTAGCGCTGCACCGACCGCGCGATGCCGAGCCTCACGGTTATCTGCGGACTGTCTCTGCAAGCCCCACAGTAGCGCTGCACCGACCGCGATGCCGAGCTCACGGTTATCTGCGGACTGTCTCTGCAGCCCTACAGTAGCGTTGCATCGACCGGGATGCCGAGCTCACTCTGCGGACTGTCTCTGCAGCCCTACAGCAGCGCTGCATCGACCGCGATGCCGAGCTCACGGCTTATCTGAGGACTGTCTCTGCAGCCCTACAGTAGCGCTGCATCGACCGCGATGCCGAGCTCACGGTTATCTGAGGACTGTATCTGCAGCCCTACAGTAGCGCTGCATCGACCGCGATGCCGAGCTCACGGTTATCTGAGGACTGTCTCCGCAGCCCTACAGTAGCGCTGCACCGACCGCGATGCCGAGCTCACGGTTATCTGCGGACTGGGTTGCATCCAGCATAGTTGTTCTTGGACTTGACATGCGGGGCGCTTAGCTGAAATTAGCAGCTTACGTGTTTAAGTTTGGTCTCAATCCTACTGTCCGCTCAGAGAGGAAGATACAGCTTCCAGATCCATCAGCTACAGCTTCAAACCAAACACCAATTAAAAATGCAACGCTGACAATCATATTTCAAAAAACCTGCGTCGGCTTCAGACGGCATGCGATAAAACCGCAACTTTTACAGTGCGACCTAAAAATTCGACTGAAGAACATGACTGTCACCGGCAAAAGTCGCGGACCCAGCACTCCGTCGTGCTGTGGGCACTACAGGCACGACCGACGGCTGCACTCGTGACAACAGCAGCTGCTGGTGGATAACTGGTCGCGGCCTCGGTCGCCATGCCGGCCTTGCATAATGTATCGCAGCGACCGATGCGATATGAAAGTCCGCCTTGACAAGGTCGCTTGCCGAACCCGATCAACACCGGATTGGCGATGTCAGGCTGCAACAGCCCACAGCGGGCCCCGACGTGCCCGGCGCGGCGGTATGACGTGACCCCGTCACCGGAGCCCCCCCCCCCCCCCTCACTCCCCCGGCAAGGGCACGCGCAGGCACCGCAGAGCCACCAGGCTCACCAGCGCCGCATCCCACCAGCCCACGCCCAAGGCCTTCCGCGAACTGGAGGCCGGGCGGTTTCGACAGAGGCCGGGAGGCTCACGGCTGCGGTCAGCCGGCTGGGCCTAGTCCGTGCCTGGGCGGGGGCGACGGGCGCAGGTCTGGTCACGAGCGGCCAGGACGGCAGCCGGCTTAGCGGTCGGCGTCGTCACGCGCCCGGCCGCGCTGCCGGCCCAGCCGCTTCGCCGAGGTCCCCACTCCCAGGCGGCCCCGGCCCCGGACACCCAGCAGGCGTAAGCCGCGGACCACGAGCTGCGCGCCACCTGTTCTTGCCGTTCCTACCACAAGCCAACTGACTTCGGTACGGTTTCCGGACCTGGCCACCTGGCTGTATCAGCGCTGCGACCTAGCCACCCGGCTGTATCAGCGCTCCGACCCAGCCACCCGGCTGTATCAGCGCTCCGACCCAGCCACCCGGCTGTATCAGCGCTCCGACCCAGTCACCCGGCTGCCGATCAGCTGTCCGACCTCGACATTCGGTCGCGGAGCAACCGTACCGCCTATTCATTCGACATTGACTCGGTTCACCGGCCCAGCCTCCCCGGCGCAGTGCACGCGTCCGACCTAACCATCCGACTGCGGCATGGCAGTCCGCCCTGGCCACTCGCCTGCAGAACGGCCTTCCAGCCCAGCCGTCACGCAGCTCTACAGTCGTCCGAGCTAGCACCCAGCAGCCGTCCAATCTAGCATTCGACGGCCGTTCGTCCTAGCATTCGACGGCCATCTGACCTAGCATCGGACAGCCATCTGACCCCGCCATTCAGTCGCAGCCCAGCCGTCCGTTCTGGCCACCTGGTCACGCACAGGACAGGAGGCCTCTCACGCGACCTCGGCTAGGGCCGGCATGACCGGGGCCAGTACCGGCGGACCCCCGCAGATATCCAGGCACCGGAAAATACTAGGGTCTTTCCACGCTGACGTGGCGTGGAGAGATTGGGCAAAAGACAATTCCACGGTTGCCCAGCTGATAGGTCCGACACCACTGGTGGGCAGGAGCATGCCTTGTCTGGGGAATCTGTGTGTGATATCAGGCAGGTGAATTTTAGCATATTCATCATGCTTGCCTCTAAAATTGTGAGACATAGAGCGTTTTGTGTAGCACGCCATCTTAATAACCTCCTCAGTTTTGACTCACATATTGTGCTATAACATACATTATTTTGTCTCTCTTCTATCTATGCTATCTTTTCATGCACCTGGATCCCCAATCTCAAGATATCAATCAATCACTAGATAAATGTGCTACTACTAAGAAAAATGGGTATGATTACTTACCTTGATGAGCAGTCCATAAATTTGCCTCCATCCAATAGGTGCACCTTGCAGAATAGCACAGCACTCACAAAGGAAACTGAAGTCAATTCCTCTACCTCAAGATCCACCTGAAATTTGTACTTCTTCTTTTTTGTCATTATATTCATAGCTACTCTACAGCTGGGCCAATATCAAACACTTGTTTTCTTCAGCTACACTGACACATAAGCTGAAAAAAATGGTTGATCAGCAACAAAACACATAAGAAAATGTGATAACACACCCAGGTCAGCAGTAATCTTAATGAATGCTACTGCTTTACAGCAATGGCAATGTTGCATAAAATGAGATGTGCAAGGAACAAATCCTGACATCAGCTATGACAAAATGCATTTGGGCACCACAAATGCATTAGAAATAAGGTGATGGTAAATTTTAGGTCTCACATAACAGTGGAACAGGATGATGATTATTGATAGTATGCACATATTCTATTTGTGCCAATGTTTCCTTGATACAAAAGGCTCAGTGATCTTGACCCTCTCCCCATGAGAAAAAGGTATGCACCAGGTAGACACCAAGTTGATGTTATGTTGGTATATCATGTCTGGCTAGGTGATGCCACTGCTCTGCATTATATTAAATGGTAAGAATTGAACAAAATAGGTGTGGAGGTGATAAAAGTATTCATGCAGCTCTCAAGCACCTACAAACCTTCAGGAAGTCCTGGACAGCTAGTATGTATATTAGTAGGCAGTTACTTTGCAAAACCTATCATGATGTAGAGATAAAGCCCCCAATGTTCACAAGCCTTGGCAGGTGGACGCAATCTAAAGAAAAATCACTGACAAATTCAACCAAGTACTTACAAAGCCACAAACCCAACAGTAGGGCGCAATGCTTCAGCCAATAAATTGTCAAAATATGTATTACGCGAAGCAGGTTAGAGCTTACAATGAATTCAGGTGATATATGTTTTAAGCTGAACCCAAAGCGTTTACAAAATTTATGACACTCCACCTAAGTCACGAATGGCAGCATACTCTGTAACAACATACAGTCATTTGAGCACACTAATCATACCTGCACCGCAACACTTGTTTAGACCAACATCCACACGATACGAGCGCGGTAAACGCTACTTTTCTTCGCTCACTGGCTCGGCAACGCACCCACACCACCACGAACAGGCGCCAACTCCGACGTAAACACACAGCTTGGCTACCGAATGAACAAGATGACCTTGGGTGACAACGACTCTACTGCTACCATATTCCAGAGACTTTTTAGAATATCTTAAGATATATGGGGATCAAAGTAATGGACACATGAAGCTTAGAAGCTATAGTCGACATCGCCACCAGTGGCATGGTTCCCCTTTACCCACTGGTGACGGCACCGACCTATGCGCTTTGCAATTGCATACAACCACTGACCCATCACTCACTGCCGGTGTACGTGATCACTGAGCTGGACCATATACCTGGCAAGCGGCACGTCGCGCTGGGCTAACAAGGGTCAAATCCCAACCGCTCTGTTGGCTCCATAAGGTCCGCCCGCGCTGCAACTGGGACATTTTGCTCACTGGCGATGTACTGACCTTGTGATGGTCCAACATTGGACACCAGCGACTCGTGGGCTCATGGCTCGGCTCGTGGACGAGGCGTGCGGTGACGTCAATGCTGCACAGATGAGCGCCTTCCGGCGCGTCTAAAATGGTTGCAACTGAGCGAGGCATGTTATTGGAATCTAGATATATTTTGTCGGCATTGCAGAAAGTCATATCGCAAACGTTGGTCGAACAGCCCAAAGTGCATTGGAATCCAGGCCCCATGGAGATCAATGCTTCCCCCGTTCATGCAAAACGGCTTACCGAAAGGCTGCGTGCATGACTTTCCCTCCCAGGTCAACAACGCGGACACATCTATTGTCACTGAACTGAATAGCTCAAGTCCGACGCGGGTCGGCTTTTGCAGAGCTAATAAATGGCTGTTTATGTCACTTAGGTCACTTTGACTCCTTATAGCGCGGAACTGCTGCCTTCGATCGCCTTGTTCACGTTGGGTCAAGCGACAGCGTTGCCGATGGTTGAGCATAGCAAAACGCGGCCGGGTTTACTGTTCAACGTCGCCTCCCAGTCCCACAGTTTCGGATCTCGCTTGCCGCCACATGGTACCGATATGCAGTACCGATATGCACATATTACCGATATAGTACCGATATGCAGGGGTACAACCAAAGGGAGCGGGCGCCCAGGGTCCCTCACGAGGACCCCTTCTTATTTGGAAATCTTACGTAGGCTGTTGGTGCTATGGATCGGTACATTAGTAAGTGTATCATTGAACTGCTGGTGAAAATGAGTTTTGACGCCCTTGAATAACAAAGGCAAAATTTTTCAACGCTTGAAAATAGTTGGCAGCCTTAACAACGTCAGCATAAGTAGGTCAATGCCTGATCCCCAAAATACCTTTGCCAAAAATTAGTGTAAATTTGGCGGTCTACACATGATCCTGATATTGACGCTAAAATTGCATTTCATGGATGTATGCAATGAGTTAACAAATAAGCGGTCAGGGCACGTACGGGAGATCGCAGTGCTGGGACCTCCTTAACAAAATCCCGGCTGCACGCCTACGAACATGGGCCGTGCAAGTGTGTGATGGAGGATAGAGAAGGTAGTCACTCGGTCCATCGAGGAAAAGCTGGAACATTAACCCTGTGGCATCATATAGAGAAAATTAGGCAAAATATCTAGCATGCCCTACGTGTCCTCCGAGTATCCATCGTTGCTAGAGCGGTCACCGGTCGGGTAGTCATCTACATACGTGACAGACTTGTACTTTACTACCTCGGGTAAAGCCGTGGTGACTTCAGAATTACTACCTCGGGTAAAGCCGGGGTGACTTCAGAATTACTACTTCGGGTAAAGCCGAGTGACTTCAGAATTACTTCCTCGGTTAAAGCCGGGGTGACTTCAGAATTACTTCCTCGGGTTAAGCCGGGGTGACTTCAGAATTACTTCCTCGGGTAAAGCCGGGGTGACCTCAGAATTACTACCTCGGGTAAAGCCGGGTGACTTCAGAATTACTACCTCGGGTAAAGCCGGGGTGACTTCAGAATTACTACCTCGGGTAAAGCCGGGGTGACTTCAGAATTACTACCTCGGGTAAAGCCGGGATGACTTCAGAATTACTTCCTCGGGTAAGGCCGGGGTGACTTCAGAATTACTACCTCGGGTAAGGCCGGGGTGACTTCAGAATTATTACCTCGGGTAAAGCCGGGGTGACTTCAGAATCGACCCCGTGCTCATTGAATCACGATAGAATGGATATTGCTTTGCAATTTAGCCGCGAGTCGCAGTGGGAGCTGCCAACCAAATCATCGGCGAAACGAATTAAAGAGAGACGTAAGCAGCAGGTAGCCCTATGTGTAACTGTCTTCTTAAAATTGTTACTGCTCGATAATGTAATGTTTTCGCATTTGCGCCTTTTCGTCTGTAAACTGACGTGGGCCGAGTAGGGGGCGAAGATCGGCAACAAACCAGCCACGAGAATTGCTGTATTCATGAAGCAGGGGAAATGTATCGGACTCGAAATCCAACGGCACTGGTTACGAGTCCCAGAGCAGGCGCATTACTGCACCCGACTGAAATGGAAAGTCCAGCTGGCAACTGGCCAATGAGGGTCAGCCCAGGCGTGGGACGGCCGCGCCGCGTCATTGTCCGGCGTACAAAACTCTCGGCGTTTACTGTCTGGCAAAAATGCGGAGGCCAAATTTTCTGCTGAACTGGACGGCACGACCTGGGTAATAGGTTCAGGGTACTTGCAACAAGCTATGCTTAGCAGTTACTCCGAACCCAAGGCCACCTATGCATAGCATGCGGAGCCAGTTCATGAAAAACACAGCTCGTTAGAGTTGGCACTCTGTACAAAATGTGATGACAAGACATGAAAGGATGTACCTTTCCCTCTCACTTTTGGCTCATGCCTCTGGAATTGAAGTTCTATCCAGAAAGTTCTAAGTAGGCCCTTTAGCACATTAAAATTTGGGCGCCCTTTACTCGAAAGGCCACGTGTCACGTGATGTTCAAGGGCACGATGAACCAAGTCGAACATGTATGATACATCAAGCCTTCATCGCAAAATTCTGCGTCAACTGGGAGTTTCACGATCGGGTGGGGGAGGGGAGGGAGGGAACCATATTTTGTATTCGTCAATCAGTGTTCGATCAGTGTTCAAATAGCAATCAGTGTTCAGTGCGGGCTCTGATTCTAGAAACCAATAGATTCAGAAAGTGAGGAAAAACTCTGGGAAAATCGAGCGACGACCCCAGCCCAGGTGAATAGGCCGCACAAAGCTCGGGCCAAGAGACCCCTAAACCCAGACGGAACGCGTTCCAAGTTCACGTAGGATGACGTCCTGCCATCCTGGGCAAAGCTGTTCCCCAAGCTTAGGCAAACAGACTCCATGCCTGGGATCAGGGGCACCCCAGACACAAGGATGCAGACAGTGTACTAGTTAACGTATAATGTACCATAAAACCAAGGTCTGAATCCGGTCCTGGCGCAATATGGAAAGGAATCTGACGGTATTTTTCACGAAATTGCTGAAATAACTCAAGGCAGAGGCTCCATATGGAAGCACATTGGGGGAGGGCTACCGCCATCTAGGCTTCGATGGCTAACATACGTATACCTTTCACACCGCTAGGTCACGAATATTCTTCCAGATCTATTTTGCGCCACCTATACTATTTCGCTGCTGCCGATAGTGACACCTCGGTACCTTTCTAGTTGCATATTTGCGTCTTAAGGATATTTTGATACTCGCAAGCGTCTTAAACTCAGGGAGCCTCCAGACTTACAGTTGGAGCCTTCCTGGAGCGAGCAAAAGCACAGGGCCTCGTGTAGCCTTGGTCTGAAGGTGCTTTTGACCAGAAAAAGCTCCTATTTCGCCAGCTGTGTACTGCCAGTTGCCGCCGTGACGGTGGTTCGTAACTTGGAAAAATGACAATAACGGAGACTTCACTACTTTTTTATGTCGCGGTACATTAAGACATCAAAAGTCGTGCATCAAGGGTTTTAATCGCACAGATTGGTGGGTATACGTTCTAAAGTGCGTCCAGGAAAGCGCATACTGAATGCATACGCCGGCAATAAAAGCACTCGTGGATGGCCTCTGACTGCAATTCGACAGCGATCAGCCACAGACTGTAGCCCGACTGCAACCAGCTGCCACCTCCTCACCTTCACGCTGGAACCCCACACACCGGGCTCTTGTCGCAACCGGCCACCGGAAGAGGACGGTCTTCGGCCGCCCCAGTCCCCACCCAACGCTACCTCAGCACATACAGCATCCTGCTTAAAGCACGCATAGCCTCTGCTACAAGGTGAGCGGGCGCAGGACTACCGAGTGGTCAGCAATTAGTGGGTGGGCGCTGCACGGCAGGAACTAAACGCCCAAAACAAAACAAAGCATGCCAACATCCCTCATTGCAAACTTGCACACACACGGTGGAGCTCCTGAAAAGATTTAACGGTGCAACATTTGTTTGTAAGGTTTCGGTTTAGTTTAGCTCACGGGTGTCGAGTTGTGTTCTTTTGTGAATCTTCCGTCCCCGTCCCCCACAACCAAAATGCACGCCGCCTTCCATGATCGTCATAGAAGAGCGCCATCGGCGCCTTAAGGTGGCCTCTAAAGGGGCGTTTCCACGTGTCGATCAGAAGAGACGCGTGCGTCCAGAGCCTGCTTCCTGGGTCTAGCCCTGTATGACTTCTATACTGCTTAAATTAAAGACTTTTATAAATTATCAAAATTAAAAAGGTATATTGTCTTCAATCAAAATAAAGTGGGCTAAATCCGGTGAAAAAATCGGAGGGGAAGGGGAGTAGGTTGTCGGGCCTTTGGCTTCCGCCCCTCCCTCCCAATAATCCACAAAAAATGACACCCTTGGCTTAGCCTAAACGCTTCAGGTCAGCAACGACAATTTCAGAGCGAGGGCTTCTGGCAGGAGATGAGTGGTGGGGCAGTTCTGCGATTACCGCAGGCTGTCCCCGTTGCTGAGTTGTATCCCACATAGGAACCGGTCTTCAGGGCTGGTGCAGGTGCTCGGGCGGGATTCCCACTGGGACGGTCGTGACGCTGACACAAGGCTGAGGTTGGGTGGTGAAGCAGCAGGGTGGGGGTGATTGCAGTGTTTTAGATTGTGCTT